TTCGCTATTGATGTTCTTGCTTGTGATATTGAGCTCATCTTTTCATTCATGTTTCTTTAACATATTTCTTCAGTGAAACTGCACTAGTTTGATATTGATCTCCTTGAGATCAATCATCATGCATGTTCAATTAAAAATTGGATTAATTTAATTAGGAACGTGCCTTTCCGTTATATTCTTACTGGGTTAAAATTGCAAAATCTTAAATCTTGTCCGAACTTTGCTGCGGAGGTAACTTGACATACTGATCACGTAAATAATACCGCTTTCATACGGTAGGATCTTATTGTAGCATTGCGGCAGTTAAGGGGACACTCACAAATTTCCTGAAACTTTTCTCAGGAGCTTATTTGATATGTTAATTACGTATATCTTATTTATTTCATTATCCTCTTTCAAGAGTTGCAGAAGGTTTTGGCAATGTTTAACTTTCCTATTTTAGCCTAAGTGTCAATCAGGAAATCATTTATTGCGTTCCTTGCGACCATTGAAACTATGCTAGACACTTTGAGCTTCATGTGCAATTTTAGTCTTCCATAATTGGTTCATTACCTCCCACCTATTACCTTATCCTACTGTTAGACATCGTGAGAGCTTGTCAGAAACCCCACTAGATCCGATCCATGATTTTCGCTACTATAGCCCTTTCAAGCGAAGTATGATTTTCGAGATCAGTGCGTTAATTTACTCCTTGTGAAAAGTTTAGGCAAAACTTAAGATTTTAAGATTTTTGTTCGGGTAACCGGACAGCCTATGCTTTCGTTCACAACGGCAACATGTAACTTGCTCCCATGGTTTTTAAAAAAACTCATGCTTGCTCTTTCGTACTTGAACATTCTGATGTAGCATAAATTAAACATAAATTAGTTTTATCCACAGTTTCTTTCTCTTCTTTGCATACCGTCAGTTTCGCCACAGTCATATTCCTCCTACTGTTTACACCTTTGTGAAAAAATGTGGTATTTTTATATTGTCCATTTTTCTCTACCCATTTTGAACAGAAGGGCAGGCTTAAAGCAGAATTATCAACGTTAAAGTCTGGACTTTAACGTTTAAATTCAACTAGGTACTTAGAACTTGTCTGAGTCTACACAAAATTAGAGAGCCTTCAATCTAGCCTTTTTAAGCAATTCGGAAGTATATGTGTTTAGCACATAATTTAAGACTTAGAAGTGAAGTTGAGATTGGCGAAATTTTTTTAAACACTGCTTTAGTGTTCATCTTCCTATGTTGGATCAAATGGAGTTACCTATGAAAGAAAGATAACTTTCCTTGCTCCACCATACACCGTTATATGCTACATATTCATTATATTTTTTGCAGTGGGATTGATGAAGAGTCAAGTAAATCAAATTCGAGCGGCGCTCATATCTTGGATATCATTAAGAAGACAGAGGGATTGAGCTACAGCTTCAAGTAGGTAATATTCTTCTCTTAATTCTATTATATGATGTCAATCATTAGGTCGTTGCATTCCCCATGACTTTTTACCGCTTTTTTTCATCAAATCTTTGAGTTTTTGCAATGAAGTATATATTCCAAAAGCTCTTTCTTTACTTTAAAAGAAACTCATGCATCATTTTCAAATCTTGTGGATTTGCTTGGATTTTCGAGCTGAGAAATATGTGGAATCGTCAGCACAAACAGAATTTGCGGCGTCTGCTATTGTTGCTTTTAATCGAGGTCAAAAAATACGAACGGATTCATACCTGTTCCGCTCATGGAAAGATGCCATTTCCTGCAGTACTACCAAAAATTGCTCCAATAGGCTCAATTGAGGGCCCTAAGGCATTCACCGATAGAGATGATGTTGCTGATAGTGTTTCCCAAAGTTGGCTCAGGCGCTTCTTTGAGTTTTGCTGCATCATGTTCTGATACAGTTATCGACAAATTTCTGTAAAGAATGGAAATAGTCAACGGTGGGCTTTCGAAATATTCACTTTTTGCCCAAAAATTTGTTTTATAAATTGCTGGAAGAGGGCCTAAGAAAACACGGGAACTTATTTAACTCTAATACAATACATTGAGAACTTGTCGAAATGGCGTTGCGATTTCCATTTTCTTAATTTACTTGTGGAGATTTGTTTGACTTTTATCGCCTAAGGGGAGAGAACCCTGTTAGTTATAACTTCTCCCTTTTTGATCTCTTTTTTTGATAAATTTTTTTATTAAGCTTTGACATATCCGAATTCTCACGCGATCAGACTGAAACTTCCAGTATTCTGTTGTGTTGATAATCTTGAAACCTATTTGAGCATGCGCTGTGCGTAGTCAAAAGCACTTCAATGCGCTAGTCGAGTGCTGCTGCAAAAAGATCCAAATACAGGTCTTTTCCTAGGGCAGTAATGCTTGCTAAGCTATCCTTGTCATTTCTAAAATTTTATAGTGAACAAATCTCACTATTCTTTTGCTCCTCATATTATCATGTTTTCTGGGATGCTGTCACTGCACTTCATCACTTCACCACACCTACTGTCGACAGCCGAGCCATCAGAAAAAATTGGGAGATCGCCCCAGGAATCCGTCTTCCTTTAGCAATGTATACGAAAGCAGTGCCTGCAAAGAATCCTCTCAAAAGCGTTCTTGTCAATGAACATGGAACTGAGGTATGCATTGCTGTAAAATTGCATATTCCTTCTTTGCTGCCTGGGTATCGGTTGCAGATGCACAGGCATTCTCGCTTTTTGGCAAACGTGAAGTCTGTTGATGGCACCAGCGATTCTTTTGCAACTCAGTTCAAGGAGCTCACTGCTAAAGAAGAACGGATTCAGGGTATATTTTTTCGGTATTTGTGCGCCATACAGGTTTGGTAGGTCATTTTAATAATCGGCCGTACTTTTCGACGCTCCCCTCCTCAGAATTCTCTGCCTACAGTGCGAGCGCAGTTATAACCAAATTGGCCGACACCGATTGGTCGATTTTAATCACACAATATAATCGCAGCAAAGCGAGAAAAGACTGATTTCTGACTTAGCTCAACTCATTTTCGAGTTACGCCCCGTTTATCTCTGCAAAATTTGGCTTCATATAGTAGTAGATGTCCTATTGTCCTCTTTCCCGATGGACATATATCTCATAACTCACAAAGCCTCGGATGCATCCACAGAAGAAACTTCTTACGATTTATCTTTTAACT